AATTGTCTAAGCCAGTATTCTTAAGATTATTTGTAGCCATATAAGGCAAAAACTTAACATCTAATAAAAGATATGAGACAAGACCTCACCTTAACACCGAAAAAAAAAAAATATCAGATATGGACGATGAGCAAACAATAGCAGTACTTGCATAATAATTATAATTTAGTAAACTTAGATTTTTTAAATATTATATGTTTATAATTGTATATTTCTTAGTTTTATTAAAAAAAAGAATACAACCGAATATGAATATTCTGTATTTGAAACGGTATCAGAAAAAAGTAATTGGGATAAAGTTAGTGCGACAAGAAATAATAGAGGTATTCAAAAAGAATTGAGTACTTTGTCACATGAATCTGATAACACAAATAATTCTGATAGTGTTTTTGACATACCTCTTTCTAAATCCTCATCGATTTGTGAATTAGATAATACTTATAAGGTAAAATAGATTATAAGATCATACAAAAACTTAATAAATTGACTCTTATAATATAAAATTTTAAAGTGATCTGGCAACCCGGATATTGATTTTATTTTCAAAAAATTTTATATATAAAAAATATATATAATTTTTTATAACTTTTTAAAAAACATACTCAGATAGTAAGTTTGCTTTAAAATTTTTGAAAATTTTAACCTGATAAGATTATAAAAATTAATTTATTAAGTTTATATAACCGAATATATAAATTATAAGTTATTTTTTTATATTAAATCAATAATTCTAGCTTAAATAATATTATATTTTAAATAAATAGAATTCAAAAAATAAAGTTACTGAAAGTTTAGAGAGTTTTGAAGATGAAGTTATTGTACTTAATAATAGTTTAAAAAACAATATAATTAATAGTAGTTTTGAAACTACTAATAAAAGTGATATATTTAATTATAATTTAGTAAGTATAAATATTATTATTATAATTTAATTATTTTAATTTTATAATTTTTGTATTATGTTTAAACTATTTATCTTATTGCTATCTATATAATTTAATTAGCTGCAACCAACATTTGTACAATTTGGTCAAAATTTAAGTGTCAATCAAATTGAATATTTTCTTGAATTTCAAGAATATTCAAAAACTTTACCGACTGGAGTTGCTAGTATATATAATGTTTTTGAATGGGATTCTAATAAAGCTAAACAAGTATTTGAAATTGCCAATATTCAATATTCTTATGGAAATCCTAGAAATATGCAACAAATACAAAAATATCTATTTTTAGAAGTATCTGTTTATAAAAACTATTGCTCATATTAGAGTATAAAAATATGTGAATTTAGTTTACCAGAACTTAATATTGAATATACATTTGTTGATTTTGAAAATCAACTATACAAAAAAATTTTTGATGTGAATGAATCTTCAGCTTATACAGTTACTCTTAAGTAAGTTTATTTTAATTTAAATTAATTATATTACTATATTAATTAATTAATTTTTAATTTAATTTTAGTACTTTTGGTCAAGCATATAATACTCCATGCCTTTATATTAATCCGCTTACCAATATTCAATATAGTGGAAAACCTGTTCTTAGAGAATACAAACAAGTAATATTATATATTTATTTATTTATAAAGTTAATTATAATATATATTATATTATTAATATTAAATTATAATTTTAGGTTAATAATACAGCAGTAGTTATTCGAAAGTTTATAGGATGTAAAAAATATAAATTAGGACAGAAGAGTTATTGTTATATTGCAATTAACCAATGTATAAATATAAATTATTTTGAACAACTTTTTCAAAATTATAAATACTGTCCTAATAGAATTAATAAAGAAGTATATAATTTATTATTATTTTACTTGTTATTATAAATATTTATTAAATTTTTTAATAATTAATAGGATCAAGATAAAGTTATTAATAAATGCTTTACAGTTCTTCCAAATTCTTCTATAACAAATTATTACTGTAAGTAAAATAATAAATATATACTATATTTTTATATTATTTTTATATTAATATAATTTTTTATTTAGCATTTCTTCATAAAACTAATATACAAATTATAAAAAGAAAAATTATTAAAAAAGAAAACTGCCCTGTAAAATTTTATCATATAATATCTAATAATTTAATTGAATATCTGTTTATTGTAATTATTTCTATTGATATTTATAATCACCCACCTCCACTACCAAAATTGACAGGGCTTAGGATCGATTTTCCGATCACGTGATAATGTCAGAAAACTTAAAATTTTTGTTTATATTAAGGTTTTGGTTTGATAGAAGTTTATTTTGAAGTTATAAAGGCTGTTCAAATAGTAAAATCATGCAAGAAAATTTTTTACTTAGAGTACAGAAGGTGGTTAATTAGTTTAAATTCTAAGATATTCATGATTTCTTTAAAAAAAAAGTTTGGTTTGATTTTTTACATTACACCTGATCATGATCTCTCATTGGCTAATTTTGGCTCAGAAAATCATGTGATAAGAAAATTGATCCTATGCCCTGGCATTGTTTCTACTGCCTGTTAAAATTCTACGAAATATAATAGAAAATTTACAAACAATTATTAATAATGAGTATAATCTTGATTTTACTGCACGCAAGCTTTTTACAAATAAGTAATTTTATTTATATAATTATATTATTAAATTTTTAATATTAAAATTAATAAATAATTTAATTATTAAATTAGAGCCAATGATCAAAATATATCTTCAAGGAAAACTATTAAGTAGTATCTATCCATCTTTAAACAATCAATTACGACTTAATTATTTAATTGAAAAAAACAAATGATCAAAATATCCTTTTGGACAAGATATTATTGGTATATTTTATTAATTTTAAATTAATTTATAGAGTATTATAAATATAATATTTAAATATAATTTTATAATTTAATTATTTATTTATATTTTAGAAGTTACCATTCAGGTGATTTTTTTAAACTAACCTGGGGGTAACCTACGGGTGACCTGCGGGTGACCTGACGGGTGACCCGTCGGGTGACCTGACCCGATTTTCACCCGGGTGACTTATTGTCCACCCGTCGGGTGACCCGGGTGAAGATTTTTTGGACGGGTCAAATCACTAGTTACAACAAGCTACGGTATTACATTCACACCTCTAGTTGCAACCACTTACCAAAAATTACATCTAAATTTTTTTACGTGGTGTTAATTTATTATCTACTTTTCCGAATTCTCCCGATACCAATACGACTTCTAATAAAAATTACAACTGCTCTAATTTTACATACAATTTTATGCGCAGATTATGCTCTACGTATTAATTATGTGAAATTAGCCCCAATATGCCAATATACTATCATATATGCTTTTGCGATATAATCTGATTTATGCGCAGATTATGCTATCGCAAATCGGCGGTATCCCTAATCCTGGGGCGGGGTATAGAGATTTTGTATTGTACAACTTATAGTTTGTACTGTACAGTACGTTATTATATGATTTAAATATTTGTATACTATACAATACAATAGATGCTAGTCAAAACCCCGACAAACATAAATCCCGACAAACAGAAATCCTGACAAACAGAATTTCCGACAAATTCAAAATCTCGCCAAGTTAACCCACACTAGATTAACATTAATTTTAATTCTAGTCAATAATTATCAGGATTTTTTGTCAAAATTCTGTTTGCCGGGATTGTAACCAAAATTTCAATATATTATATAATACATAGCAAAACCTCTCTAAATATACTGTACCTTTAAAATGCACTAAATAATTGAATTCTGACCCAAACACTATATATAATTTATCTTTGCGAATATGTTTACTTTTTAAATATCTGTTAAATTTTTGTCGACCAAATATATTTAAAGAAATTTAATTATATATTATAAATAAAAAAAATTAAACAAAGTTAAATAAAAAAACTGATGTATAGCAATAATAGTAATAATCGAACTTAATAAAAAGAATAAAGTAATAATTTATATATAGCAATAATAGTGCAATTGTATAAATATTATTTATTAAAAATAATATATATTACATTAAGCATTAAAGATTAGAATTCAATTATCTATTTTTTTAGACTATTTAATTTTTCACAAAGCATAATTTCTTCTTTTAATAATTCTAAATTTTTTTGCTGAATTTCAAGTTTTTTATCTTCCCATTCAATATAGTTTTGTTGTTCTTGAGTTGTAAATTTAGATGGTTGCACTAAATTATTATTACTGTTATTTTTGTTTATTTGACTTTTACGTTTCTTTTGTGGTTCAGATTTTAATATAGATTCTTTATTTTTTTTTCTATTTTTCTAATATGTATATTCAATATTAAATAAATATATATAATTTATATAAATAACAAAATTATATAAAATTATACTTACGAGTTTTTTTGCATTAAGTGTTAAACGTGCTAATTCTGATTTATTTTGATATGAATCTTTTACATTATATTTTTCATATGTTTTTGCAGCATGCTATTGTCATTGATCAAAATCACCTCCTCTATATTATAAATTATATTATAATTATTTATTAATATGTATTTATAAATTTTTTAAATAAATATAAAATTACAAACTGATAAATTGCTGCTAAATGTGATAAAGAACAACCATCTTGGTTTATATTTGCATGTGCAGATTCATTTGCATTAGTGTTAGTAGGAGTTTGATTCCAAATATTAATATCTATTTTAGTAAATGCTGATGATAATCCTGCTAATACCCAAGGCTTAGATTTATCTTGAACCCATTCTATAAATAAATAAACAGTTTAATAAAAATATATATGATTAAAATAAATTAAAATAAATTAAATACCTGCTGTGCTTAATTTATCAGATTCTTTAATTTTAGTTAATATTTGTAATACTTGTTCTTGAGTTTTTAACGTTGGTATTGAATATATTAATGTTTTTACTTCATTAGAAATTGATTTATTTCGAATATTTTTTAAAATATATATATAAATTAGTAAAAAAATAAATTATTAATAAATTATAAATTGTTATTTAATTTACTGATTAAAATGAATTTGACATAATTTATATATATGTTGTAAATATTTTTCACAAGATAAATAATTGTATTTAGAATGAAGATATTGGCCAAGACTTTTTAATTAAATAACTAAAATTAATAAAAATTAAAAAATAAAAAAAAAATAAAAAAATAGAAAATATAATATAATAATATAATTACTAAATGCTTGTCCTTGATGTTTATCAGCAATTAAACAACCCAATTCACTTCTATGAATATGCTAAAACTTGAATAGTTTTTGTGTATTATTTTCAATAATTGTTAATAAATCTTCAAATAGATGTTGATATGCAATAGATGATTGAAGATTTGTAAAAGCCCGAGCAAAAACTAATGCTATAAATTATAAATATATAGTAATTATTAATTTTATAAATATAATTATTTTTTATATAATTATAAAAAAAATAATTATACATATATTTACTTACTTTTTTGATAACGATTATTATATGCACAAATTTTTCATTCATTTGTTGAACCATGAATTTTTTTAAAAGCCATATCAATTTCAGCATATAATATTTGAGAAAATAATTCTGTTTGTTCTTTGTATGTACATAAAACAAGATACTGTCCATTATCAAAAAATTCTAAATAAAAAATTTAATATAAAAATAAAAATAAATAAATAAATAAATAAATAAAATATTAATAGACAATTTATCTATCATCTGAAGAGGATCTGCAAATTTTATAAGTAAATTTTATTATTAAGCCAAATGTAGAAAGATTTCTTCTAAACTATTTTTTCTTACTAAGTAAATTACTCTTGGGCTTCTAACAAAAGTTGTAGAGCTCATCAAGACGCATCTAATGGTGGT